AGGGAGCTGCTTGGGAACTTTATCCCAACATCTTTGCCAAAAAGTGCATAAAAAACCTGGCAAAGGCAAGCCAGTCCTCACAGATTTCCTTTTACCTTTTCTCAGAGATTGAAATAAGCTGCTCTTTTCTAGTTGCCATCTGTACACTCTGGCTTGTGACCCAGGGTAGCGATCTCACATGAAAGCTGTATTCCCACACAGAGGTGGGGAAACTGAGGCCCAGACCTTGCTACAGCCAAAGTGGCTGATTTAGTGTATCCACCTGGGCTCTCAGCACGAGTCCATACCCAACCAGCCCTTGACCCCACTTTCTTCTGGTGTGCTGTCTACTTCTTCAAGTCCCTCTGAGACCCTTGACACGACTCCAGGATATTCTGGCTTCTAAAATTAGCCCAGTGCTTGGGTCCATGCTCAGGGGTTTTCCCTTTAAATAATCCCTCTGCCTCCCCTCCTGCTTTTGCTTTGACTAAGCATGCTGCAAAAACAACTTGCTTCTAAAATAAGCATCTCCTCTAACTCCCAGTTTAAACCTGAGTAGCCGAGCATGACATAGCGGAGTTGGGATGGCAGCTGTGCCATCTCTCAGGCCGTCTTTTGGTGCAATGGCACCTGGAGCAGCTGAGGTAAGGGCATGCGTGGGTTAGGGCTGTGTGGGCTTCAAAGGGGACCAGGGATCTGCTAGGAATGTAGTGGGATTGTGGGGCATGAGAGAGGGTGTCCCCCACAATGGTACCTGCTGCTGGACAACCCATCTTCTCTGAAAAGCACATTTGACATCAAGATGTGTTCATTTGGTGAGATGAAATACAGGCAGACCTCTGAGGAATGCCAGCCCTCTGGGCAAGGGATAGCAAAATGACTTTTCCCTGGCACCCTGTGCTGACTTTCCTAAGTAACCCTGTCTCCAGCCCTCTTCTCCTTATGTTGATCCATTTTTCAGCTGTGGGGCCAGGTTGCTGGAGCTCAGTTTACACCCACTGGATTTGAGCTGGGGCCAGATCCCAAGCTCAGTTTCAGTCATAAATCTGGAGTAGTTCCACTGAAGTCAGGGGAGTTAATTCCAGATTTACACCCAGTAGCACTGAGGTAGGACCTGGAGTCTCTCTGGCTTAGGGATTGAAGAGGGTAAAGTCTATAGAGGATTTACTCTGGCAGGTTACAGCACTCAACTCCCAGCAGTGCCTGAGTATCCCGTGGTTGGAGTTATTAGAGCAAGTGCTCTCTTTATTATTTGATATAATCTACTGCTATCCCACCGGGTTCCCCTCACTCTGCACTCTGTGAAACCAAGTGGAACTAACCCGAACAGGAGGATTACAGGCTCCAAAGGGAAACGGTCGCACCAAGCCGCCAAGTGGAGCTCCTTGCGCTGAGCAAAGAGGACGGCTGACAGCCTCAATGACATGCCAGCACTTAAAATGCTGGATGATGGATGAATGTCATCCTGCTGGGAAAGGAAAGGGGGGTAGAGAATAGGGGAGAGGGGGAGGCAAGGAGGGGAGGGAATCCAGCTAGAGGAGCCAGGGAAGAAGAGCAAGCTGGCACCAGAGTTGACGTCCGCCCTGATCCTCATCTGTGGGCTGTGATTCATGGGCAGAAGAGAGGGCTGAGCTCCTGTCCGCAGGCCCTGTCGCTTTCTGCACGCTGGATTGAAATTTTACTGCTCCTGGCAGCTCTCTTGCTCACAGCACAGGCACATGCACAGATGTATATGTTTCTATATGCACACCTAGGACACATAGGAAGACTGTTTAACAGATGTGTGTGTAAATGTGTGTATATTTATATAAATGCCTCCCCTTGACACATAAGCAAACGTGAGATTTCCTCCAAGACAATTCATTAAAGGCCATCCTCGTCCCCACCTTTCACTGTATATTATAGTTCATCTACAAATCACATCTACTAAATGACTAAAGGTTTTCTGTTAGGGGGTTGTTGTTTTTTTTTTGTATTCCCCTGATGTCAGGGGATGTCAGTGAGATGGCTGCATTACTCAGAATATTGCGAGTCTGTCTCCAGAGTGCCTGGGCAGGAGATTTCTCTCTCTGTCTCCTGTTGTATTCCTGACAGCAAAGTAATTTGCTTATATAGATTCTGGCAACAGGAACAATGCAAAGCCTGGCTGGTTGACAGTGTTGCATTTTTAACTCAAGGTTGAACAACTTCAGTCTGGAGACCTCTGGGATTCCTGTTCCAGGGTTGTTGACTCCTGGGATTTGCTCCAGCATTGGGTTACTGTAGATGAGACCATGCTGGTGCCTTCCCCAGCATGAGGGCTTGTGAAAGGGGTCCTACTGTGGGCTGTATTGGGCTGAGGGCAGAGCAAGACCCTTCCTCTGGGCAGGGTCCCACACTGTGCCACTACCCCTTTCTGCTCAGAACATCATACTGCAGGCGTACCATCCCACATGGGGCCCCCACAGCTGTTCCCAGAGGGACAAGTCCTGAAATGGCCAAAAGCCCATAGCTATTCTGCAAAGACAAGAGGGCTAGCCAGGGGGGAGGTGGATCCCATGCCTCAACATGCCTGTGAGAAGAGCACGTGTTCTCCAGGTGCACGAGCACACTGATGCTCCAGCAGCTGGTGTCTGGCCAGGCAGCTGATGTACTGGAAAACGAAGCAAAATCCATCTTGGTGTGTGCTAGTAATGGTTCTGCAAGGCAAAGTGGGTAAAAGAGGGGGCTAAGCCTGAGAACAGAGCCCAAAGGGGCAGCTCAGTGAGGGGAGCCCCACTTGGAGCCGAGTGCGACCCCAGGGAGAGGTGGCTGTGCCGGCATTTCGGCAGGCGGCGGCGCTCCTGCCCTCGCTCGGTGCTGACCCCCAGCACCCCTGGGATCAATCCTGTCACCCACCTCTGACAGCAGCTGCTTAACCGCACACAGCAACCCTGCGCAGCAGTTTCGGCAAGAGAGCGAAGAAGCCTGTATCCAATTGAAACCGCAGGGGGGATTTAGGGAGGCAGAAGGTAATTTCCCGAGCTGGAATATGGCCAGGATGCAAGGACTAATATACTGGCTCTTGGGGAAACAGTCATGGGATCTTTGCTTGCTGAGAGTCATCCTGATCTCTGTTTTAAGTCAGATCTGGAAAAAAGGAAAATGAGACAAAGGGAAAAACCCTTCCAAGATGCCAGAGCTTTGGGGCACCGTTTAAAGCTGCTCTCACCATAGGGAAGATCCTCCTGGAGGCAAAGCAGCCAGGCACCCCAAACACAAAGGCCTGGCAGCTGTTCCATCCTCTTTCATGGGCGCTCTGTGCCTGGGGCTCCCCCATGCACCCAGATGGGGTCAAGGAGTGCCCTGGCTCCAGGAGGAAAGTAGGGTGCTAATGTCCATCAGTAGCATCACACAAGGTATTGCTGTAACCTGGTCATGTCCTCATGCCAGTGTTTCCCTCTGCTGAAATATACCAGGGAGGCTCAGAGAGGTCCCATGTCAAAGCAGATTTGGGGATGGAGGGTTGTATGCTAGGACCAAGCAGCACACTGCAGCCATGGAAAGACTCGTTTGCATTCAAAAATTATCCCAGAAAAAAGATAACCTGCTGAAGAAACACCACAAAAGGTAGGAGCATGGCTGCACTGCCTTTTTTGGTGTCTTTGTGGATTCAGAGCAGTGGTTATAAAAGCACGATGGTCTATGTTTGCTCCTTTACTTCCCCAGGGCTGCCAGGCTCAGGGCTGACCCTTGGAGGCACCATGATCCCATGGAGAGAGGTGGCTCAGCTCTTTCAGGAATCTGTTCTGAGACGCAAATACCCCAGATGAGTTGTCTGGGAAGGTCTAAGCCGATGATCAGGGCCAGGGGCTGGGGGAGGCAAGGGAAAGCGGAGCTCCCTCAGGGAGCTATCTTGGTCCTTCCCTGCCAGCACAGACCCCTGGCGTGTGAGGAGGGAGTTGGAGACCTTCCTGCCTGGGTTATCACCACATCCCTGCAATGGACACAGGGAAAAATGGACGTCTGTCTCAGGTTCTCCTGCCTGTGGGTGCTGCCACTCAGCACCAAGGCACCTTGGGGAGGGTATAAAATGGCTGGTGGTGCTGTCACACCCCTGCTTCTTATCTTCCTCCTCCTGGGCCCTGGGGAGGTGTGAGGGCTGCCATGAACCTAAAGTACCACCATTTAAGAAGCAGACAAGTCCCAGGTCTCCTCCTTCTGCATCTGCACAGAGCATCATATTTTTCTGCTACTGATCCCTCCAAATGCCCAGCCAAGGTATACAGCCCTGGGAAAGTCATCTGGCAGGGGCTTCTGAGGTGGCTCTATAGTCCTGGTCTGAAAACTGCTGTAGAGAGGATGGGGTGGGAATGGAGGTGTGAACACTGGAAAATGCTGCTCCCCGTGCAGGGAGCTCCCCTGCTGTTGGTGTCTATCATCAGGAAGGGATTCCACCCACTGCTCAGTGCTACAGAGCAGGCAGGAAGAAAAAGCATCCCTGACATGTTTGGGCAGGTGAGAGCAGGCTGCTTGGTGAGCTGGCTAAGCTCACATCTCCAGCTTTTATGTTGCCAGTTCAGTTAAGTGCTTTGATCAGGCAGAGTGCTTGTGCAAAGCCATCTTTGCAAGCGGTGCTGAAGCGCTGATCTAATAGAAGTGAGGGCTGGATTAGCACTGTTGGGGCAGCCCAACACCTTCCTGCCTGGGGGAAGGAGAGAAAAGGCCTGCTTGAAATTTTAAAACGCTTGGAAATAGCACTGCAAGCCCATAAGCTAAGAATTATTGCTCTTCCTAGTGTGGGTGGAAAACCACGAATGTAGAATGTAATCTACAGGATAGTGTGTCTTTAATCAGTGTCTACAGCAGGTTAACAGCTAGTGCTCTCCTCACCTTTACAAGTGATCCTTCCAGGCCATTTTTTTCCTTGTGGTTGGGCTCCCTGTGATCTGCCTGCTGGCTGGCAACAACTTTTCACGTCATCCCCTTGTCTGTCACCTCAACAGGGCAGGGGATAACAAGCAGCAGCCCATCTTGCTGCCCCATACATCACAGCTGAGATCTGTATTCTGACAGTTGCATTTTGTCTCCTACTTTCCTAGCAATGTGCCCTCAGAAAGCCAGGAGATGAAAGTATCCTCAGGTTTGATTGAAGACTCAGGGCAGGCAGATGCATCCTCCAGACCACCTCGGGAGATCTGTCTGCTGGGAGTTGTCCTTTTCCTAAATCCTATCAAGAGAGTACAGGAAAGCTGCCAGAGCTTTGCTTTGCTGTGTGGTCTTGCTGCCTCACCCATTCCTCCACTCAGGTTCCTGGCTGCCAAGGCCAATATTAACCAGTCAAGGCCTAATATTAACAAGGCCTGACCATTGCATTGTATGTAATAGGGTTTGCATGTTTAGCAAGAAGTTCAGAGTGGGAAAAAGGATTTGCCGTTGGGAAGACTCCAGCACGTTGCTCTGACACCCCCCCCCCCGACATCTCTGGGATTTAAATTTCCCAAGCACAAGCAGAACCAAGGTGCCTGTACCACCACAGGGTGCCTCAGCAAGCTGGGTCTGTCTCACATATGAAAGTGAGCTCTCCCAGCCCCACAGACAGGCTGAGACCTTGCATATTTTGCAGCCAGAATCTATATTCCTTTTCTCAATCTAGACTCCAAAAGTGCACCTCTGCATAGGGTCTCAAGGCAGAAGCAAGTGATGGATCTTCCCTGCATTTAGGATTGCTATCCATCCATCCATCCATCCATCTGTTATTGAGTTCCCAGAAGAAGCAGAAGCTGAAGTTTTCTCACAGGGGTTCAGGGCTTGGTCTCCACAGTGAGAGTGGCTCAGCAGGCACTGGCTGCCCTGTACGTGTTGGCAGGGCACAAACAGGTTTGAGGGCTGTGAGGAGAGGTTGGTCTCTTGTGGCTGAGGTGACTGGGCGACACCGCTCTGAACATGGATGGAAAACCAGAGTCACCCTTCACGTGAAGCCAGAGGTGAGCACAGTGTGGGTTTGGAGGAAGAAGGGAGATTTTCAAGATGAGAAGGAAACCAAAGGTCTTGCCAGGACCTGTGTATCACTGATGCAGTGACGCATCTCTGTGTGGTGATTCCCCAAGAGTCACAGCCTGCCTTGGTGCACAGAGAAAGACTATTTTGGCCATGATTAATAAAGCTCTTGGTGGCAGCCTCTTGCCCAGCTCTGTCTCCCTGATGGAACAACTCTGTGTTACACAACCTGACAGAGAAACCACCTCCCAGTCTTCCCACCATCCCTCCAAGGAAGCTGTGTTTCGGGAGCAGAGGAAGATGCAGCTCCACCATGCTCAGTGGGAGACAGTGTGTGCACGTGTGTGAGAGTGGGACTGTATTGGCTGCTTGCAATTCTCCGAGGGTCCTGTGTGTTTGCAAAGGCAGCTCTGTCAATCAATAAAAAGCAATCACAGTAATGAAGTATCAAGTAGGAAGAAAAGATTTCAAGCTCTACATTGTTGAGGGATTGGGGGTTTTCTTTAAATGAGGCAAGAGAGGCTGGGAATGGCAGAGCCCACAGCAGGGATGACAAATCTGTTCCTTTTGCATGGGGGAAGTGGCAGGACAGCAGCTCCTCCGACCAGATCCAATGACAAGGGAAAGGCTGAGAGAGGACCCCATTTCTGCAGACACAAAAGACAAGCCGGTGGCGGCGACTTTCTCTCTGAAAAGTCACGTTTGCCAGGAGAGGCTGTGAAATTCAAGACGTTCCCAAGAGCTCGTTCCCTTCCTGTCCCCCCCAGTCTGGGAAAGGGAATAATTCTAATTTTGTTTTTATTATCGTTATTCCCTCCTGGGTGAGTGCTGGGAAAGTGGTGAATTTTGCAGCTGCCCAAGAGTCAGTGGGAAGGGGGATTGTGAGGGACACATGACAGAGCAGGGGTCCCTTCTCACCTTTTCCCTGCCTTCCCACAGGACAAGTCATGACTGAAACCAAAGCACCTCCTGTTGTCTTTCTGCTCCAACTCAGTCATCCCCACCCAGCTCATTTCCCCCTCAGTAGGACCTGTGGGGTGACCTGTGGCATGCAAAGACAGTAGTGCCACCAATCATGCAGAACTGTGCTGGCTGCATCGACAAAGGGTTGGGGAAAGGTAGTTACCACAGCAGGCATTTAAAAAGCAAGTAATGAGACTTCTTACTCTGGAGGAGAAGTTGCTGTGGACTTTGATTAGCAAAGCTGGTAAGAGATGGGGAGCTCCCTCCCAACAACGCTTGCCAAACTGACCTGTCTTCCCAAGGCAAGGTTGGTCTTATTAGGGCTTTTTTAGTGCTGAGGCAGGTCACTCAAATCATCTTCTGTAATTAAACCTTTACACAAGCTGTAGCAGTCTTTACCTGCAGCCATGCAGTCTCCGATAGGGCAAAACTCTTTCCTGCCATAGCAACATCAATTTAAAAAAAAAAAAAAGAAAAATCAATGAGATCTCTACCTGGCAACGAAAATATCCACCGATCCATGGCAGTAAGGGCTGGATGCGATTGCACGTGGTCTGGGAAGGCCTGAGACAGGGCTTGGGATTGCTGTGAAAGCATCTACATGTCACACTCTGTTCCACGATTGTGATGTCAGCTTGAGAGGAATTTTAGGCAGTGCTCTGCAGGTATGAATTAATTTATGGCCAAAGCTCATACAGGTGAGCTCATGCTCACTTTCTTTGCTTTGATTGCACTGATTGCCCGAGAAACACCTGGCACAACAGCCCAAGTTCTGGTGGTCTCTGTAGCTACTGATAGCATGAACTATTGCAGTAGAAAGATGGAATGGAACAGCTATGGGCTCTGGGTGCCTCACCAATGTCTCCTGCATGGATGACAGTCTTGCAGTATAGTGGCTGTGGCTCCAAGAGCGGCACATAAAGAACAAAATCCCCTAACTTATTTGATGTACCAGTAGAGCTGCTTCTTTAACCAGGTGTCAGCACCTTGGGCTTCAGTGCAGTAGGCCCTGGGTGTAACCTCCTTGTGAGAGGAAGAGGGGGGGGCATACACTGATCTCTTCTCTGTGGTGACCAGTGACAGGATGTGAGAGAATGGCCTGAAGTTGTATCAAGGGAGGTTCTTCACCCAGAGGGTGGTTGAGCACTGGAACAGGCTCCCCAGAGAAGTGGTCACAGCACCAAGCTCGACAGACTGCAAGAAGCATTTGGATGATACTCTCAAGCACATGGTGTGACTCTTGGGGATGGTCCTGTGCAGGGCCAGGAGTTGGACTTGATGATCCTCGTGGGTCCCTTCCAACTCAGCATATTCTGTGATTCTGTAAGGCAAGCTGCTCCAGTGGGACTGGCTGCAGCTCTTCCCCTGGCCTTCCCCTGGCAGCTCAGCCCAGGGAACCTCCACACTTGTCTGCTTGAGTCTTAGCTCTCTATCAGCAAAGACTTTGTCTCAGAGCCTCAGCAGCTCTTACCATACTCTGTGGGCTTCATCCTTGTTGGGGAGATGCATATGTGGAGGGAGAGGTACCCTCTTGGCAGGATGGGCATAGCTGTACAGGTACTTTCTGGAAGGCATCCGCTTGCCTTTCCAGGGGACGGAAGAAGACAGAAAATACCACTAAATTCCAACTTTCTTCATGGAAGGAACATTTGCCATTGCTGTCCACCTTTCTCATATCAATGGGACAGTGCTGGTGCTAGAGCTGGCTGAGGGGAGGGGAGCTAAACCAAGAACAGCCCTGGTTTTGTGTTGGGTACTCCCTTCCAGTCCAGCAAACAGCCTCCAGCTCAAGCCATAAGAGATGGGAGGAAGAGGACAGATTTATTCCATGAAATTAATGAAGTGACACTGGGTGTTAATAGCCTATTTACCAACATCTCCTCCTCTGTCTTTCACTTATTCAGAGAAACTGCCCTGCTCTCAGCTGTGCCCATTGCACTTTCCTCGCACTTTGTTTCAGACTCACAAGGAAGTGCCCCTCTCTAAGGGGAACCACAGAGCCAGACCCCCCCCCAGGAGACCTGACTCAGCTTACCTGGGGGTCTCAAGCCCATGTGTACTCACTCCCACCTTGTCTGTACATGCTGGCAGGGAAGATGAAGTTGAAAAAACCATTTACACGCCAAAGGGATTAGCCAAATTGTGTTAAGCCCCCGCAGGGACGTCCTTGTTCACAGCCTTCATTTGATTTCTCTTTCAAAAGCCCGCCAAGCTGAATGTGATTATGGCCTCTTAATCCTGCCTACATATGTCCACGTGGGGTTAATGCAGCGTAATAGATGCCCTTTACAAGTGCACGCTGGTGACCACTGCTGCATGGCTAAACCCTCGAGCCCAGATGTTCAGCAGATGTAAATCCAAAGCACAGACTCTGTGAGTGCTACTATTTGGCCAAAAAGCTGCTCTCACAGATAAAATATGGAAGGGAAACTCCATCTTCACGAGGCTGAGCAGCAAATCTGTGTCAGAAGCAAGGAACCACTGCTGGCACTCTGCTCCAGTTTGGTTCAACTCCCTCGGCAGGTCCAGCCTGGGATCAGAAGGTGGTTTTTTTTTTCCTGGTGGTTAGGAAGTGGTAACAGAGTCCTGCCCCATCAGGAGTGCTGCCCTCCCAGTCTGATCCCACCCACCATCGTCTGCGAGCCCCTGCCCAGGGGTGGCTCTGCTGATGGGCAGTTTCGCTTGGAAAGAGTATCATTTTCCTAAGGCAGAGGCTACAACCAAGAAGTGTCATTGTAGCCACACAAGAACAGTGGAAATCCATAGAGCCTGCTCAGCTAGATATTGCAAAGCTGTCTGGCACTGCCCAGCCAGGCAGGGGAGATTGTGGAACACCTTGCAAGAGATTTAAATGTGTTGCCTTTACAAATAATAAACCAAGCTGCCTTCAAGAAAGGAGAGCTGCAAAGGGCAGAGAGAGGCACTACCCAAACCCATCCTTTGCATCAGCCAGGACTTAAAAACAGATTCAGGACTTGGTGCAGCAGGATTTGCCCTGTCCAGAGCACCTCTCCCTGTTTTCACAGAAGAAACCACCCAAAGTCATTCACACCTACAAAGAAGTTTGCCACAGCAAGATGTGCAAAGTGCTCCATTTAGGGAGAGAAACCTGCCATGGTTCAGTCCTATTATCAGCAAGAAAAAATAAAAAATCAAAGACCTTCTTGCCCAGAGAAAAGGGGGATGAAACCACAGGGGGTATTTCCATAACTCTTTCAGCTAGTACTCAATACACAAACTCTCTTTTCTCAAAGTCAGACCGCCTGCCAGGGGAGCAAATCCATTCTCCTGGTATCTCAGGACTGTATCACACAATCCCTTTAATACAGCAATCAAGTCCCACATTAAAAACAGTTAGATTTCTACCCCATTGAAAGGGTTTTTTTCCCCAGAACATCACTAAGAGGAAACCTCCTTAAAATGTGCTGCTTTTTGCTGAACTGACTAAAAGTAAAAAATACACACCCACCACCCCCAACAAGTAAATGGTAAAACTGTTATTTCCCCATGGAAACTGTTGGTTTTGCCAGAATGATATTTTCCATTAAAAATGTTTTGCTGGAGAATTCCCAACAAGTCAGGCTGCTGCATCACTGATTTTAATCGAATTTAGAAATTCTTGTTTCCCTTTGTTCTTAAACTTATATTTAGGAGTAGGGATGGTTACAGACCTGTCTGCCTCCTTCACCAGCAACGTAATGTCACCCACCGAGTGACACATATGAAGAAAGATAGCAATGAAAACCTGACGTGGCTCCTGCTACAGTCAGTGCTCCCCAGGCAGAGGCATAATCTCTCACAAGGCTGCCTCGGCTCTCAGAGCCCCCTCGATCTCCAGCTGTTTTTTTGGAGATGCTAATTTTCCTAAGCATAGTTCTAACAGTGAGGCTGTGCTGAATTCACAGATAATCAGTATCTAATTGGATTAGGAGCTGATAATATCTTTGACCTTTTTTTAATGGCTTGTCTGGCCTGGCTTTCTGCAAGGCTGAGGCTTAATTTTAAGCAAGAGTTTTTTCCACAAGTGAAGCATGACCCTGTTAACCTCTGAATCAGAGAGGTGACCTTCCCTCTCCCCAGCCACTGTGGAGCTGCTGGAGATGGTGATGTACACACAGGCTTTACAGATCTATGTATAAACAGACTGAACCTACCTACAGAAGTCAGATTTAGGACCTGATTTTCAGTCAGAGTTGGGCTGATGCAACACTAAATCCTCAGACAGAAATGGGGAGATAAAGGAATGTGAAGCTCCCGTGAAGTCAGTGTTCCCGCCAGGGTCAGCTCCCCTCTTCACCAGTTCTTCCATATGCAATGTGGGAACAATGAATCGCCAGTGCAACAAAGGACCCAGAGATTCAGATAGGGGGTGTGTGAGACAAAGACACTGGGATGCTTGTGCATTCATGTGGTTACATCTCACCTAGTCCCACCACTGCAGTTATACATGTGCTCCCACACATGTGAGTGGGTTCATATATAGGCCCAACACAGCTAAGAGACAGCGTGTTTGAGTTACACCTACATTGTGCCCATCACAAACATACCGTATTTTGGGGCATTGGGATTTAAGGAGACACAGGGAGCAGGAGGAGAGGGAAGGCTGCCTGATGAACAGCAGATGTTGGTGATCATTGGATGGAGCTGTTAATTTAACTGGAGTTTATTGAATAGCAATTAGGTGGGGCCTCATTACTGTAGCCAAGTGGCACAGAGATGCACTGTAAAAACCCAGGGAAAAGGGATATAAAGTGGCAGAGTAACAGCACTGATGCAATGTTTAGGATCTGGAGCAGTAAATCCTCTCACTTGCCCAGAGGTCCTTCTCCTGGGTGGTGCTGGCTGGAGCTTGGGCACCTGAACCCAGCTGCTTGGCTTGTCTCAAGGTAGGAGGCTGCAGACACAGCAAAGGATAGTGAGTGTGTGTACTTGGGGGAGCAGAGGACAGGAAAGAAATGAAGGTCTGAAAACAGTGTCAATAAAGGGGTGGGGGTGACAGCCTGGGTAAGGCAGCAGTTCTTTAGCTCAGAAAGAGACAGGGATGGAAGCAGAACAAAGGGTGGAAGAAGGGTTTGGAAGTCTATAAGACACATATAGATGTCCCAACCTGCCAGGGGATGGGATAGGGTGTCTTGATACTTTAAACATAACATTACCCCAAAACAAGCAGTGCAGCACTGCAGCAGGACAGGTTTCCATTTCATGTGGGTCTAACAGCTACTCCTCCAGCAAACTGTGAGTCATGTTTCACACCTCTGCTGTGTGGGGTGGCCCTGATGTTGCCAGGGAGGGAAGTCAGTGCTCTGCTCCTGCTGAATGCGGGCATGAGCTCCACCAGGACTGTTTCCCAAGAAAGACTCAAAGGTACTTGCATCAGCATAGCCCGAGTATTTGGGGTGGCTTGACCAGTGCAGAGAGGGCAAGGGAGGATTATCACCCCTGCGCAGCCTGACTTTAGCCTTGCAATGTCCAGTGCCAAGAAGGATCCAAGGAGAGGATAGAGACAGGACAGAAAAGTCACAAGCAGAGCTTGCTTCTCATGGAGGAGACACACCTACATATGTACAAAAACACACTC